TAGTTTGCAGTGTTGTTGTTGCTAGTCTTACTACTTCCTACATCCTGCATTAACTGTGTGTTTCCTGCTGATAAACAGAGAGGAGCAACTTAAAAACCAAAAAAACCAAACAGTTTTACATACAGACACCAGTCCTTTTCCACCCCTGGTCAGACCCTCTGTCAGACCGCTGGGCTGTTTGTTCATAGCTTCTCGTCTCTTCTGCTGGTACTCTTCATCCATTGTGATTGCTGCAACACCCTTTGCCATGGCACCTGTTATCCTGGAGGCTGCACCTGCAATACCGCCTGAACAACACACATGATTCGTTACCTGAGACTATTTTTTAATATATCTTAAATGTTCATGTCAAAATTCAATTCACAATTGTGTCAGTGAAAATCTGAAATTTTAAGGGCTCCAACATGGTGCTAAAAAGTCTCCGATGTGTAATGAAACAGCCACAGTTCACTGTAAAAGGCAATATAATGCTGAAATTTAACAGATATAACACTATATTAAAAACACATGAAGTAAAACGACCAATGCTCAGTTATTACACTGTTCAAATTACAGCCCTATATAGCAGCCATTAACCCATCCTAGTCAATCGACGTGTATAATGACAGCAGATAAAGTGAGGACAGCGTGCAGGGCTGTATAAAGTCTTTAACGATCTTCATTTCTTTTTATTTATTTTTTTCATGTGGTGATGAGCGATAATTCTCCGAGGTTTATTACGTTTTTTGTTGGACATTTACTGCTTTATAACTCATTTTCAATCTAGTTTCAGATTATTTTCATAGGATTATTTTTAACATTTGATAAGCTTCTTAACACTGATGTCAAGCATATAATGACACCTAGCTAAAGGGATGAATCATTATTGTTTCTACACATAATGGACACTTTCAATTAAATTCTATTTCTAACCAGTTTGTTACCAGCAGCCTCTCAAAAAAAGCAAATGATTTGCTCAATCTATGAAACATTGCAATGATAACACAGTTTGACAGACATAAAATAGCTGAAATCAATTGAAGGAAACTGGACAGTTGGGAGGGACAAAGAAAGAAGTGGCAGGTCTAAAAGGCATGCCTCCACTTAGGTTGGACCTCAACGTAAGTGAAGCAGTGTGGGATCATCTTTACAGAAAACAGAACAAAAGGCAACCAGCATCTAAGGAAGAGCTTTGAATGTCCTTCAAGATGCCTGGAGAACTATTTTTGAAGACTACTTAAAGAAATGACAAGGAAGCTGAGTAAGAGAGTTCAGGATGTGATAAAGAATTGTACAAACTGTTTTTGCCTTGCATACTGTATTTCAAAATACAAAGAAATGAGAGGGAGTGCAAGACTTTTGCACAACACTGTACATAAAGTTAAAAATGGAAGATAAATTAAACATAATTAATCTTTTAATTAGAAATTCCAGTGATTATTTAGCAGTTTTGACCTGATCCTGTTGAGCTAAGGCTGACTCTGTATTACCCCTTTAACACCATTTCATGCTTACCTACAGCTCCTCCCACCAGCGCCTTAACCCCAAGAGCCATTCCTTCAACAAACTCCTCAGGGCCCTGGATGGCTCCCTAAAAAAAAAGAAGAACAGTTATTGTGAATGTTAACCTAAATCCAATGTGGCCATATTTTCTAAATTACACAACGTAACTATTCAACGGGTTTTATAACGCACTTCAAAGCTAAAAGACACAGTTGAACTTGTCAATAATTTTATTGGATATCATTACCTGATAGGGCTCATAAAAGAAAGCCTCAACCCCTTCTGACAATCCTCTGATCAGTCCAAATGGGTTTCCAAGAACATCGAGGCCCAGCACCAGCACATACATCTGCTTAATAGCCTTGAGATACACATAGGTGGAAAATCAAAATATCACAACAAAAGAAGACAAGACAAATTGCCACTTGTCTGGTTTCATTGTGCTTGTATGTATTACCTGCTTAGAATAATGTCTGAGGACCTCCCACTGGAGCTGCTGAGTGGTGTAGAACTGGTATGTCAATTCAAAAAAGGCCAGCCTGAAATAAATGTCACATTCAGCCAAGAAGCAGGGTTGGAATCACCAAGAACAAGTCACATGGAAGTAATGTTAATGCTAATGGATGGCACATGCATGCTGTCTATTTGAGCCTTTTTCTGTATTCGTACTTGAAGACCACATCCTGCACGTCAGTGAGCCGATACTCTTTAGCAACAGATTTAGCGACTGCACAGGGATCAGTTCCGAATCTCTCTTCTGTGTCAAGCCATCCTCTCCGCCTGAGCTCAGAGAGAAACTCAGGTGCAGCTGACAAAAGAAAAACAAAAAAACCACAAGAACATCAGCAGGCATTAGTATTGCAACAAAGAAATTGCAGAGATCATTTCAGACACTATTTGTTTGACAGAAACTGCATTCGCACACACCTTAATGGGGGAAATGTGGAAGTACTTGTAGAGGCTGATGGGAGATTTATCAGCAGCAGAGACATGGTTCAGTTCTGTCTTTATGTTCGTTATGTCCTTTTCAAACAGTTCCACCTACAGCATCAGGGGAAAGGCACAACAGCTGTTGAGTTAACCGAATTATACAATCTGAACAGAAAGGTAACTTTGTGTGTGTGTCAAGGCATGAGGCCAAAATCAAATAAAAATAATAATAAATCAAATCAAAATTTATTTATAAGCACATTTAAAAACAACATGGCTTGAGCCAAATTGATGTACATAGTAGAGATAACATAGTAAACATACATAGTAATTACTATAAAAGACTAGTCATAATTGAAAGCTAGAAAGTACAATTGTGTTTTTAACTGGGTTTTAAAAATGTTGAGTGTTGGTGAAGACATAAGCGAAGGGGCAGACTGTTCCAGAGTTTGGGTGCAGTGATCACAAAAGCTTGGTCACCTCTGTTTTTCCGTCTAGTTCTGGGGATAGTCAGAAGCAACTTATCTGCAGACCTAAGTATGGCAAGCCAGGACTGACATAATGAATTAATTAAATCAAAATTCCGTAATTACAGAAAATAAAACATTTAAAATACACAAACCTCGTGAGCTGACATCCAGGAGGGCCTAAATAGTCCTTTATGGCCTTCTTTCTCACTTATTTCTTCTCTTTGAACAATATTTTCTCCATGTGTGGAGCTGACCACCAGACGCCATGTGCTCTAGCATAAAGTGGCTGGGTGGAGACCCAAACTGCAAACAACTGAACCCTCTATACTTCACCACCAGAGGGTGCAAAAGAGCAAAATCTGGACATACAGCTCAACAAAACATAAAATGCAAAAGACCGTTACACTCCCACCAATCACTTGTGATTTAAAGAATAAAGTATTGCCTATGAACTAATGAACGGCTTTTAAATGAACTATTATGAATTATATTTTAAGCAGAGTGCGGTGGAGAATCTTCTTCCCCTTCCATCAAAATGACTGTCTTCTGAATGGGTCTTTCCAGGTGAACAGGTTTGGAGGTACGTTTTCATTCTTTATCTGGGGTTGGATCACTCAGCAGCAATTTCACCTTGGTCACTCTTCCATCCTTTCCAGGGTACACTTCAATGATCCTTGCCAACTTCCACTGGTTGCGTGGAGTTATCTCACCCTTCAGATAACCATTGATCTTAGCATTTCTGTGCTCTTTGGTCCACTTCTGTCTGCCTTGAAGATTTAACAAATACTCTTTTTTTCCACCTTGTCCAGAAAGTGTTGGTGAGTAGTTGAACACGACACCACCTCTTACGGAGATAAAGATCTTCCTTCACAAACCGTCCTGGAGGTGGGGAGATGATTGTGGACTTAATGGTTAGTATGTGGTTTGGTGTTAAAGGTTCTGGGTTTGATGGATCACATAGTTGGTCAGTAGTCAATGGTCTGCTATTAATCACTGCCATGACTTCATACAGGAATGTCCTTAGAGAGGAGCTCTAAGGACGAGTTGTCTGGCTGATTGTTCCAGAATGGACGTGAGAACACTTCTTATGGTGCGAATTTGTCTTTCCCAGACACCACCCATGTGACTCGATGCTGGGGTGTTCATGAGAAACTTGCAGTCCAGTTTCCCTAGCTTGGCTTGATCCATCTCCTTAAATGCTTCATTATACTCATTTGTAGTGCCGACAAAATTTGTGCCTTGATCGCATCTTATCTGTATCTATGGCTTAATCTAATGGCTATGAATGCACGTAAGGACTTGATGAGGGAATCCGTAGAGAGGTCGTCAAGCATTTCAAGATGCACTGCTCTGGAGCACATGCAAGTGATTAGCAAGCCATAACGCTTTAGCTCCTTGTAGCCTTCTTTGACATAAAAAGGACCGAAGCAGTCCATCCCGCAGTAGGTGAATGGCGGTGTTGTCTCCATCCGATCCTCTGGGAGGTCTGCCATCTTCTGCTGTTCTGTGTGCCTTCTGAACCTTCTGCATTTTACACATTTATAGATGTAAGATGACACAATCTTGCTGCATCCAAGAATCCAGAATCCGTTAGCTCAAAGTTTGTTCATGGTGATCCCTTGTCCTTGATGGTATGTCTTCTCATGGTAATGTTTGACCAGTAATGCTGACACGTGACTGTCTCTTGGCAGGATTGCAGGATGCTTGAAATTGGGATGCAAAGCTGCATGTGTTAAACGTCCGCCTACCCCAAGAGTGCCTTGATCATCAAGGAATGGACATAACTTGTGTAGTTTGTTAACCTTGTCTTTGAACTGCATCACATCGTGATGTTGCAAGGTTTTTATTTCCTGACCAAAGGCTGTTTCTTGAACCATCTTTATGATTGTTAACTCTGCTTCCTTTCTTTCTTGTAGGTTACTGATGTTGTGTGATCTACTCTTGTGAACCTTTGCTTCTTTCACATAGCGCTTGAGTCTAGCAACTGCCTTAATCATTCTCCACCAGTTGGTAAAATTGTGTAGGCAATCTAACAGAGACCCTTGTTAAGAAGGTTCAAGTATCTTGTGAACTTGAGCCTTCTTAACCTCTGGGTCACTGGTTGATAACTCTCCCACCTTAATTTCACCACTGGGTATGACTTTCTGCCAAAGGAGGTCTGGGCCTTTGAACCAGTTTGATGTTACAAGTTGTTCTGCTGTGATGCCTCTTGAGGCGTGGTCCGCCGGATTATCTTCGGAATTTACTCCATTGGGTTGAATCTGTACTTTGTTTGATGTGTTCCACTCGGTTTGCAACAAACACATGAAATCTTCTGGTTTCATTGCTGAGGTATCCAAGTACCACCTTTGAGTCAGTCAAATACCTTTCTTCTGAAATTTCCATTTCCAATTCCTTTTTCAGCATGTCACCAGTGCGCACAGCAACAATGGCTACTGACAACTCAAGCCGAGGTATAGTTGTGACTTTGGTTGTTGGAACTCTCGATCTTCCCATCACCAATGAGCACTGGACTTCACCAGATGTGCTTACTGCTTGAAGTTTGCAGTGCTATGCCTTGAAGTTCGAAGGAATGTAGCATCTGCGAACCTTTACGTCTGCAAGGTTTCACGCAACCAAGACTCCCACTGAGGTTGAAGACTGTCAGGTCTCCTCCCAGCGGAGTTTATCTGGACACATTTGTTGCAAGATCTGCTTTCACAGCAGAATGAAAGGTGACACAAACCCAAGTGGATCGAACACAGAGGCGACTGTGGCGAATACTCCTCTTCGGGTGAGTGGTTTTTTCTTAACAACTACTCTCAACTGAAATTGATCTGATGCGACACACCATTGTAAGCCAAGTGCTCTTTCCATATGTACTTCAGCGAGTGCCATGTCTAGATCCTTGGCAGCTGCAGCACATTCTTCCTTCGGAAGTGATGCTAGAACTTGGGTGCTCTTTGAGATGAACTTGTGCAACCGAAGTTTGACATGCAGCAGAGTTTGTGTGCTTCATTAACAAGCTGTATTGCCTGATCTTCAGTGTCAACACTTGCTAGTCCATCGTCAACATAGAAGTTGGTTTTGATGAACTTAATGGTTTCTTCATCAAAACGTCGTTCTCCTTCAGCTGCAAGATGCTTGAGGCTGTAGTTGGTGCAACCTCGAGAAGATGCTGCTCCAAATAGGTGTACCTTCATCCTATAGACAGTGAATGGAGTTTCAAGGTCACCGTTCACCCACCACAAGAACCATAGGTAATCTTGGTCGCAAGCATGCACATGGAATTAGTGGAACATGCGTTCGATATCACACATGAAAGCCACTGGACCTCTTCGGAAGTGACACAAGACTCCGAGCAAGGTGTTTGTTAGCTCTGGACCAGTCAGGAGATGGTCATTTAGTGAACTGCCTTGGAACTTGGCAGAGGCATCGAAGACGACACAAATCTTTCCGGGTTTTTGTGGATGATACACGCCATGGTGTGGGATGTACCAAACTGGTGTTTTGTCAATGTGTTGCTCTGGGACCTTTTCGGCATCTCCATGGGCTAGCATCTCATCCATGAATTTCTTATAGTCCATGTAGTTCTGCTTGTTCCTCTTGAGCCTTTTTTCTAAACATTTGAGACGATGAATAGCACATGCCTTGACTAATGCCAGTCTTCATCTTTGTTAGAAATTTGAGATCTTCTTGAGAGACCTTTGTATCTTCTAGTGCTTTCTCAACAAAGTCAGACTCCAACATCTTTTGGACCTCTGTGGGAGACATCATTTCCTTTATTTGAGTTCTGTAGACATAGTGAACCTTGTTGGTGAGGTTTGAAGAGGGCTGAATGTCAGGCACTACTTACTTCACAATGGCACAAAGGCATCTCCATAATCGAGACATGGATTGCCATAACCCACGATACTCCATCCCAGATCAATTCTTTGTGCGAACGGCTGATTTTCCTTTCCAGACACAACCTCACGAGGAACAAATTCTTGGGGGCAGTTGTACCCAATCAGCAGACCAACATCACAGCTTTGAAGTGGAGCGATCTCACTTGCAATGCATTTGAGATGAGGCCATGCCTTGGCTGTTCCAGGCGTTGTAATGTGATCTCGGTTTGCAGGTATAAAATCTCTGGCATATGTTACTGGTAGGGAAATGGTCTTATCTGAGTAGAATCCTCTGACTTGTAGACCTGAGAGCTTGCAACAGGACACAACTGTGTTTCTTGAAGACATGGTAGTGAGCTTTAGCTGAGTCTATTCACCTTTTATATGCAGAGCTTGTGCTGTTTCTTCAAGAACAAAGGTTGTATCGCTCTGTGTATCAAGGAGTGCGTACACAAGAATTTCATGCTCTGGCTCACCTTTGGTTGAAACCCATACTGGAATAATGGAAGATGTGTGAGTGTCGTCAACATTCTGCGTGACTCTGTTAGAAGTTGCTTCACTTGTTGTTGGTGTAACACTGTTGTCTTGTGAGACGTCTGAGTTTGTTTGTCTTGTCCCGTCACTGTTCTTGGTTTGATTTTTCCTTGTTCTCTCTTCCTTAGTACGATTGTCATGAAGACATGTTGGATTTTATTACATGTGAAACAGGTTTCTCTGCTTTCACAATCTTTGGAGTGATGACCTGTGTTCAGATAGCCAAAACATAACTTCTTGT